ATTAACATTAAAATAATGTATATGTGTATGTACATGTTTACAGATACATACGAGTGTATGCATCCATGTATATTGTCATGGCAGGGAGGCATGGTGGCTGGAGGTGGCTGGAGCAGGAGCAGCAGAAGCTAAGGTCTCACATCATCATGCAGGCACAGGACGCAAGAGACCAACTGGAGATTTGGCAAAGCTTAAGAACTCTGTAAGCCCACTCCCAGTGATGTGCTTCCTCCAGGATAGCCACACCTTCTAAAACCTCCCAAAACAGCGCCATCATCTGGGGACAAAATGTCCAAACACTTGGAGCCTATGGGGGACATTTTCATTCAAACCACCACATATGTATATGTATATATACATACACAGACAACCACTCCTTTGCAATATTTTACAGTTTCTTTTATATCTGTAGATTTTTTGCTCCTGTTGAATTTGCCAGCTTAATAGGTTTTATTTAAATAAAAGAAGGTAAATTATATAAATTCAGGCAACTGTAGAACAATTTTTGAGCTGTCACAAGAATATTAGGCTGTAATGTAGTTGGTGTCTGAATCTGATAATTGGCTGAATCATACCCCAGATGCAGAATGATCTGTGTCCTCATCCCCAAACCCATGAAGACATTGGGGTAAATGGCAAGGGAGAATTCAAGTACAGGTAGAACTAAGGAACAGATTGACCTTGAAGGAGGTGAGTTCAGACTCTCCAGGTGGTCCACTGTGATTGAAAGGGCCCTTAAAGGTGGAAGAGAGAACCAGAAGTTTCTCTATCAGAGGTGGCTGTGAAGGACAGAAGGACAGAGAAAAATGTACCATTGTTGGCTTTGAAAGTGGAGAAAGAGGCCACAAGCCAAGCAGTGCTGGAGGCCTCTAGAAGTTAGAAAATGCTCTGTCAGTACATTACTTTTGGGCCACTGACATCTCGGTCAGATAAACCTCTAACCTCTTACCATTATAGGGGAATAGGTTTGAATTTAAGCCTGTTTTAAAACATGTTGCAGCAGCAACAGAAAACTATAATTCTCAGCCTAATTTTTGGTCATCTTTATTTTAGATGCACTTTCTTAGTTCATTTTGATAATCTTCATGTTGAAGTCACTTTGCTCATCTATTTTGAGTTTTAATAAATACAAAATAATTTTTTAAATCCTGTTATTGACAAACCACTTGAAAGTCACCAGCCCTTTTTTTTTTTGGTCTTTTCCCTTTATTTTCTGGTACATTTTCTTCTTTTTTTAGTTGACAAAGATTTTTAAATATTTGTATTGATTTGAGATTTCATGCAATATATTTTGATAATATTCAGCCCCCCCGCACATTACTGCACGCTCCAACTTCATGTCCTTTATTAATTTATTATTTGTCTTTTTTTTTTCTTAAAGGACTATCAAGTATAATCAGTGTTTCCTAAATGCTCTTAGCACAAATCCCTTCTTAACAAGTAAGTGGCTGATCTAAGAAGTGTTTGATACCAACATTCTCTACATGATTGTGTTATTTCTTCAGAAAGGCGTATCAAATGCCGTGGCAACTAATGTGTGTGTTCTTTTGCAAGGGAGATGATTGTTATACTACACCACCACAATAAAAATATCTTAAGGAGAGATGGCTCAGCAGTTAAGAGCACTGACTGCTCTTGCAGAGGACCCAGGTCTATCCCCAGCACCGATACGGCAGCTGTGAACTGTCCTTAACTCCAGTTCCACGGGAATCTGAAGCCCTTTTCTGATCTCCGCGGCATTGCATGACACGGGTGCACTCACATACATGCAGGCAATACACTTGTACACATAAAATAAAAATAATAAAATATTTAAATCTTAAGGAGGGGGAAGATTGATTTTGGCTCATGGATTCAGTTTTCAATCCACAGTTTTTGGCACTATTCATTATGGACCCAAGGTGAGAAGACATCACAGTGCAGAGGCAGCTTGTGAAGAAACTACTCACCTTATGGTGGACAGGAAGTAGAGAGAGGAGACTAGAGACTAGGTATTACCTTCAAGGCATGCCTGCAGTAGCCAACTTCCTACAGGTAGGCCCTATCTCTAAATGTTTTTTTTTTTAAATATTATTTTATTATTGTTATTCTATGTGTATGAGTGTATTGCCTGCATGTATGTAAGTGCACCTGTGTCATGCAATGCCTGCTGAGGCCAGAAAAGAGCATCGAATACAGACAGTTGTTAGCTGCCATGAGAGTGCTAGGAACTCATCCTAGGTCCTCTTCATGAGCATCCAGTGCTCTTAACCACTGAGCCACCTCTCCAGCCCCTACCTCTAAAGTTTTGACCACCCTCCAAAACACCTCCTGGAGGCCAAGCATCCATTGCATGAGTCTACAGTAGACATTTCATAATCAAGACATAACTGCTTATTTATTTTTAAAACAATAGTTTTGGGACTGGAGAGGTGGCTCAGTGGTTAAGAGCACTGACTACTCTTCAGAGGACCTGGATTCAGTTCCCAGCACCCACATGGCAGATAACAACTGTCTATAACACCAGTTCCAGGGGAATCCAATACCCTCTTCTGACTTCCTCGAGCATTGCATGACACATGAAGGCAATACACTCATACACATAAAACAAAAATAATCTTTTAAAAAATATTTGTATTGATTCTTTGATAACTACCCCCCCCCACACCTTCATGTCCTCTATTATTATTTGTCTTTTATTTTTAAAGCCCTATCAAGTCTAATCTGTGTTTCCTAAATGCTCTTGGGTGTGATTCTGTCCCTTGGTGTCTGGTCAACCTACAAGGCATCATCAGTAAGAAAAGCAGGATCTCCCTCTCCCAGCATCTGTCAATTACCAACAGATACTCAGCTAGGGCTGGGGCTTTCTACCCACCTCCTCCATTTGTGCTGGGCCCCTGTCTGGCTTGGGCTTGTACATGTCTTGTGCATGCTGTCATAAATGCTGGTGGGTTCATATGTACACCTACCCTGTGGTGTTCAGACATCATAAAATAATAATATTTAAGTAGTGGCATCCAAACAAGGTTTGTAGGGAGGAGATATTGAACGTTGGATTTTGGGAGGCTTGTTTTTACTTAGTTGTATAATGAATATAACACATTAAATAGCCAAAAAGAGCTGCATATAACAACCATTTTAGAGACCAATAGTAAATTAAAGGTAAATCACCTCTGGGATGCCAACATTTAAGCATCCTCCTAAACTTACATGTTTCAAATGATAAGAGAACTATAGTAATTTTTTTTTAATTTTAGAGAGTGTTTCTTAAATTTAGGCCATATATGCCCATCATTAGGGGAGGTAGGAATATTCTTACAAGATTGACTATAAGATTTGATTTGATTTTCTAATTACGTGTTTGTGTGCATGTGTCTGTGTGTGGGTAGGTGAACATAACTGCAGGTGACTTCAGAGGCCAGAGGCATCCGATCCCTCTAGATCCGTAATTATAGGCAGTTGGGAGCCACCTGACATGAGTGCCAGAAACCAAACCTGGATCTTCTGCAAGAGTACTATGAGCTCTTTAACTGCCAAACCATCTTTCCAGCCTGACTGACTTAGTAATTGTGCGGAATACACATAATAATATTTATCATCTTAACCATTTTAAGTGTGCCATTCAGTGGCATGAAGTATATCCATGTTATCAACCATCTCCACTATCTAGCAGAACCCTTTTCCTCTACAAGGTGACTTTTTCCTTAGGAAGCAAGTTTAATTCCCCATTCAGAACCTGGATTTCTTTTACTATTCACACTTTTTATGATGTCTTTCTGATGAGCTCTGTTTTTTTTTTTTTTTTTTTTTTTGGCTCAAAAGATCCTCAATCAAGTGGCTAGAGAGGTGGCTCAGCTTTTAAGAGCACTTGCTACTTTTGCAGAGGATGAGAGTTTGATCCCAGCATCCACGTTGGGTGACTTAAAACCACCTGTAACTCCAGATCCAGGGGATCCAACACCTTCTCCTTCTGGCATCTTCAGACACCAGCACACACACACACACACACACACACACACACACACGAATGAATAAATAAATAAATAAATAATAAATAAATAAATAAAACCTTTAAAAAAGATACTCAGTTGCTGCTTCCCTGGGCCTGCACAACCCGCCAGACTCTCTCCTGAGTAAGTCCATCGCGCCCTCCATGCCTTAACTCCCCCAGCCTCATTCACCCATCTCCCCCACCACTCTCTCCTCCTAGCCTGGGTGCTGTCCCATTCCTTGTCTTGGTGCCCCAAACACCAGGGGAACCACCACTACTTCCTGATCTTTTGCATCCAGACCAACACAGTTCCTTCTCAGGGTCCCCAGGAGCCCTCTGGGCCTGGTCCTGCCATCACCTCCCTCTGCTTCCCAGGGCTGCACAACCCACCAACCTCTTTCTTGGACACCTAGGTTGACCTCTCAGCTTCCTGAGCCCTTGCATCCAGACTAGCCCAGTTCCTCCCTGCAGTCCCCAGGAGCTCTTGGAGCCCCTTCCCACCCCCATTTCCTTTTGCATCTCTGGGTGGCATGGCCACCACCTGCCCGAGACCAGCATCTTTCCTGGGTCCTGCTCCCAGGCCAGTCCAATCCCCAAATTCCTGAGGACAACATCTTTCCTGGAGGGATCCAGACCTTAGGAGAAAGCCTGAGAGCATCTGATCCTCATCTGACTTGGGCCTCTGTGGGAACTCCTGAAGACAAAAATAATCTGGCCACTCTAAAATAAAATCAAAAGAGAGAACCTGAAGCTTAGACGAACCAGCTTTTCATGCCCAAAAAGTAAGCCACAAAGGCACATAAAGTTTACAAAAAGAAGCAGACCTAAACTTGAAGTCTTGAGTCTCACACAAGAATCAGAAACTACAAAAGAAATTCACATGCCAAAATCAC